CAAGAGGGCTACTGACTTAAAAAGGTAGTACCTAACAGCATGAAATGCTTGATAAGGGTGTTTATGCTAATCAGAATGGCACTCAATTTAAAACATATATTTTGGAATTTCTCCACTTACTATTTTTAGAACAGAGTTGACTGAAACAACAACAAAAAACAAACAAACAAAAAACAGGCTACTTACTTTTTTTCCCTTAAACATCTTTATTGTGCTCTGCCTTTATTTTATAATACATGGTGTAAATGGAGTTCTTTTTTAATTTAGAAAAAAGCATTTTACATATCAATCCCCCTGTTCCCTCTCCCTCCCATCCTCCCATGCCCCCTACTAACCTCAACCCACCCCCACTTGCTCCCCAAGGACAATGAGGCCTTACATGCAGGATCATCAAAGTCTGTCACATCATTTGGGGGAGGTCCTGGGCCCTCCTACATGTATATGGGCTGAAATAGTATCCCACCATGGGGAATGGGCTCCTGAAGTCCATTTGTGCACTAGGGATAAATACTGATTCCACTGTTAAGAGTGCCTAGGCCTCCTAACTGGCACCCACATTCAGAGGGTTTGGTTCAGTCCAATGCTGGTTCCCCAGCTTTACAACTGGTGTCCTTGTGCTCTCACTAGGTCAGGACAGCTGGTTCTGTAGCTTCTCCAGCACGGTCTTGACTCCTTTGCTCATCTCCTTCTCTAGAACTGGATTCTAGGAGTATGGCTCAGTGCTTAGCTGTGGGTTCCTGCTTCTGCTTCCATCAGCTACTGGATGAAAACTCTAGGATGGCATTTAAGGTAGTCATCAATCTCATTATATGGGATGGGCATCAAAGGTGGCCTCTTCACTACTGTCTAGATTCTTAGTTGTGGTCATCTTTGTGGATCTCTGAATGTTTCCCTAGTGCCAGATTTTTCTAAGCCTATACTGGTTCCATTATCTCTTTTCTTGCTCTCTACTATTCCTCCTGCCTCAGTTTTCCTGATCCCTCTTGTTCTCATTTACCCTCCTCTTTATCCTACCCACCTCCACTGTGCTCCCAATTTGCTCAGATCTTGTACTTTTCCCCTTCTCAGGGGGACCATGTGTTTTTCTCTTAGGGTCCTCCTTGTTTCCTAGCTTTTCTGGTGGTGTGGATTGTAGGTTGGTAATCCTTTGCTCTATGTCTAATATCCATATATAAGTGAGTACATACAATGCTTGTCTTTCTGTGACTGGGTTACCTCAGTCAGGATGGTTTGTTTCTTTCAGTTCTTTCCACAAACATACTTTCTTGATTTAATCTTGCATGTGTATCTTTCTCTATTTTTTCATGCTGTGTATTCTCATAGTTAAGACATTCCACTTATATTGGATGTTGAGCACAAGGTCTATACTAGTCACAACTTCAGCAGAGGAGCTGGCACATTGGCCCATACATGTAGCTTGTTTCTTGCCTGTTTGCATCCCTTTTCTGTGGTCCTTGGAGGAAGCATTTGTGTCCTCACTTGTCTAGTAGAGTGGCCTGACTTGGCCTACATAGAAATAGGTGTGTTGTGTAGCCCATGAAGCTGCCCCTTTGTTAGCCATGACAAGATGTTAAGCTTAAGTGGGCAATCATGTCTACGACAGTGTGACAAGTTCTCAAAGCAGATATGATCTTCATGTTGACAAAGAGCCCTAGATGGGAGAAAAATCTAAAGTTGTATGGGTTAGTTAGCACTGAGAGCACTGGAGTGGTAAGTGGAAAATCTAGCTGGTGAGTGGGTATCAAATCCTGTGGCATGTCCTCTTTTTTTTTTAAAATATTTATTTATTTTTATGTGCATCTGTATATTTTCTGCAGGTGTGTCAGTGTGAGGATACTAGATTCCCTGTAAATGGAGTTAGGGAATTGAACCCAGGTCCTCTGGAAGAACAGCCAGTGCTCTTAACCACTGAACCATCACTCTAGTCGTCCTCTTAATGGATTCTGGCCTCTGGTGGTTCCAACACATAGAAGCCAGCTCCTTCAGTGACAGAACATCTTCACAGTTCACTGAGTGTGTGTCTTAGTTCACCTCACCCCCAGGATCAGATACATGGCCTTTTGACTTTCCCTCCAGTACTCAACTCCTTTCCTAATGCATTCTAGACATTTATAGATTAATCCTCTTTTGATTCAAGCGTCTCAGTGAATGGCCTTGTTATATGTTTCTGTTACTCCACACTGAATTAATAGTCCTTGTTCTGGTTATTGATGGTACAAAGAAAAATAATTCCTAAACTTTGAGCTAGTATTTAGCAACCTTGCTAAATTCATTTATTTGAATTTAGAGATCTTATTGATTCTCCTCATTTTCAGAGAAATTTTATTCCTAGCTACTTTTTTGATATATGATGGTCTCAGACATGCTAAGTATAAATATCAACAAGGATATGGAACACTGAGTTAACCTTCACTGGGGTTCAGAGGACAGGTTGGTTCCTGTCATATACCTATGCTCATAGTGGGGTTACCCTCTTGGTTCTTACCAATTGCCTGTCATTATCCCAAGGTCCAGTGACTATAATTTCTGATCCTACAGATCTTTGTTACCTACACATATCCATCATTCTTCCACTCTAGCTATCTATCCATTTTGATGGGCCATTCCTCTTCCTCTGTTCACTCACCTGCACTGTTCTCCATTCAACTGCAACTAGTGATAATTTGCCATCCCTCACTTCAAATATAATGTACTTGCCAATTCACTCTCAGATACTACCCATGTTTACTTATGCTCAACAATTTTCAAGTACTCCACGGGATATTGTACATTTACCCTCTTTTTCCCTATTTACTCCCCAACTCTGACCTTTACTGTCCCCATTTACCCACACTTGGTACTTCATTATCAGTACTCTCATCTTTTCTTCTAACCACAGCACATTTGCATCTTGTGGTTCATCCTCATCACTTTCTCTCCAGTCTATGCCTCTCATCTCAATTAGCCCACATGTAGCAAGTTGCATAGGAAGGTGTACAAGAGTCACAGGAAAAGGTACAAGCTGAGCCCTCACCTTAATACAGAACAACCTTTAATGGAGATGACTTTTCTATGGGTAAAAAATAAAAAATAAGGAAAGCTACTTCCAGTTCCCTTAAACATCTTTTCTGCAGTCATATGCTCTACCCCTGAACTATACTCCCTCACCTTGAGCATCTTTTCTGTAGACTGCACTAGAACCAAGCTAGTCATCCATACATTTCTTCTTTCTGCAACTGGACATATGTGATTTACAGAGATCAAAAATAAAGTGAGGATGAGGATGTAGCAGAGAGCACTTCACATTTGCAAATTCTATGTTTGAGCTCCAGCAATGAACCCCCCCCCCCCACCTCCCGCAACCTGAGCCTACTGTTCAATTTTTCCGAGAATTGAATAAAAGAGGCTGGAAAGCTGGCCCAGTGGTTAATAAAGCTCTTACAGAGGGCCCAGGTTTGGCAAATATTTATACATTAAGTACTGCTTGACTGGGGCTATGGAGATTGAGAGCGAATTATTGAGAGCAGGTGTATTAAAATTTCTCAATGCAATTTAGAAATCTATATCAAAGCAATTTAACTCCTAGGATTTGACTCTGGAAAATAAATATGGACATGCATAGACAAAAAAAATAATCTGGGAGAGTGACTCTCTGGCTTCAACATTCATATATACATGTATATGAGCATGTGCATGTACATACACTCTTAAAAAAGGTGGTCTAGACAGGCCTAATCCATCTGTTCTGATAAGTATAAACCCTGCTGACTTCCAGGTTTTACATATCTTGAGTTGCCTTCTAATGCTAGACACAGACTCAATGAACAGTCAGCCATATTAGCAAGAGTGCTACAAACACAACAATTCACAAATGAGGCCTCTTATTATTCAGTAAATGTTGCTATATTGTTCTCATGGTTCTTAACTTCACTTCTGATCTTGAAAAATCCTGGTTACTAGCAGTAGTGTGATATTTGGAGCAAGTTATTCTACCTACCATTATGTTTCTTGTGAAAACATTGTGTGTAGTATATGGAGTCATTTAAATCATTTTAAGACTTGAAAAGATATTGATGAACTTTAATAACTTCTCACAGGTGTCTTGTGCACCCTAAATACGAAATGTGTTCCAGTTTTAGGCTTATGTAATATGGCTTATGTAATATGGTCTCAGGTAACTTTAGAATCACTTTACTTGATGCTTAGGGAAAAATACCTACATATCTTAGGAATTGATTGAATGTTTGCTCCTGTTTGCCAGTTATTCAATTCACTGAAAATAAAATCTGTTATATACATTAAGTGTTATGAATTCTGCACCTAGAGTTAATTATTAAGGGAATGAAATATGATTTTAAAGGTTTATTTTCCAAAAAGGAAAGTTGGAACAACGTTCCAAAGCTATGAGAAATGTCTCCAGGTTTTATCTTCCTTGTCACCTACTGCCCCTTTCCCTTAAGTAAGATAATGGTAGTCAGGTATATCCCTTTCCAGAAACAGCCTATATAATCATTCTGCACTTACCATTTCTGCCTTTTTATATACAAATTGTAGCACATCATACTCGCTGCACCTTGTTTTTCCTATCTAATGAGGTAACTTGGGGGACTGCACCAAATCACTACAGAAATGATATCCATGTTCTTTTTGTTCATTTTTTGTTTCTTGAGTTTGCTGTATGAATGTATCACAGTTTCAGGAAGCAGAATCCAGGTGATGCCATTTGGACAACTTCTAATCTTTTGTCTTCGAACACTGCATCAACAAATACCTCTGTGTTTTGATCATTTTATACACATGTGAGTATATGTATTCTTAGAAGTGGAAATAGACTTGTGATTTTGATTACTTTTAAATTCCTTTCTTTGAATGAGAGAAGTTGCTCCTGCACTTGCTATTTGCCAGAGGTTTTGTGGGGGGAAATGCCAGGGCCATATTATAGACAAATGAGTTTTTCAAACAACTGAGAAACACCTTACCTTATGTTACTTCTTTCAGACTTTACTTTCCCCAAGTAAACAAGACCAACTATATCCATTTATTTGCCCCAGCTTCCCCACCTCCAGCTGCTCCTTAAATCTGTCAGATTACTTTCTGTAAATAAAAGGTCTGTTTCTCCTCAGGCCTCACAGTCTTTGCCACAGCTATCTCTGGTCACGCACCTTAGAGTATAACTCAAACTTCAGTAGAGAGTCCTTAGCTATGCTGTTTCAATTTTGAAGCCTTGAAGTTTTCTGCACTTGTGTATGAGTGCCGTTTAGTCTGACAGCCCTATGATTGCAGTGACTTTCAAAGAAATTACATATCGGTTTTTTCCAACCTGCATCAGAGTGAAAACAGATGAAAAGAAATTTGTTTAAACATTAAATCAACACATCTTTCCTTTTGGGTATGAAAGACACTATTGTTTTGTTCTATATTGTGTAGTGAGCTTTGACTTGTGGGTGTGGCCTCTTCCATGGGCTTTCTTCCCTGCATGGATCCTCTGATGTACAATAAGGTTGGATTTCTGGGTAAAGGCTTTCCCACATTCTGTACACTTATAAGGCTTCTCTCCAGTGTGAGTTCTCCGATGTACAGTGAATGTGGATTTTTCCCTGAATGCTTTGCCACATTCTGTGCATTCATAGGGCTTTTCTCCTGTGTGTGTTCTCTGATGGATGATGAGCTGTGACTTCTGGCTAAAAGCTTTCCAGCACACAAGGCATTCATAGGGTTTCTCTCCTGTGTGGATCCTTTGATGGATAATGAGCTTTGACTTTTCTCGGAATGACTTTCCACACTCATTACATTTATAGGGTTTTTCTTCTGTATGAGTTCTTTGATGTATAATGAGATAAGACTTCTGAGAAAATGCCTTTTCACATTCATTGCATTCATAGGGCTTCTCTCCAGTGTGGCCTCGCTGATGTAGCATGAGATAGGATTTCTGAGAGAAGGCTTTCTCACATTCATTACACTCAAATGGTTTTTCTCCTGAATGAGTTCTTTGATGAACACCTAGATTTGACTTTTGGGTGAAAGTTTTTCCACATATGTCACATTCATAGGGCCTCTCACCAGTATGAGTTCTTTGGTGCACGACAAGTGTTGATTTCTCATTGAAAGACTTCCCACATTCAATACATTTATGAGGTTTCTCTCCAGTGTGAGTTCTCTGATGTATAATGAGGGTTGACTTATCACTGAATGCTTTCTTACACTCATTACATTCATGAGGCTTCTTCCCTGTGTGAGTACTATGGTGTATAATTAGGTCAAGTTTTTGCATGAAAGATTCCCCACATTTAGTACACTCATAGGCTTTCTCTCCTGTGTGGGTTTTTTGATGAACAATGAGGTTTGACTTCTGAGTGAAGGCTTTTCCACATTCATTACATTCATATGGTTTCTCTCCTGTATGAGTTCTATAATGTATGATGACAGTTGACTTTTCTCTGAAGGCTTTGCCACATTCTGGACATGCAAAGGGTCTTTCTCCAGTATGAGTTCTGAGGTGTATAATGAGCTGAGACTTCTGGCTAAAAGCTTTCCCACATTCAGTACATTTAAATGGTTTCTCTCCTGTATGAGTTCTCCAGTGTACAATGAGGTGTGACTTTTTGCTGAAGGTTTTCTGACAGGCAGTACATTCAAAAGGTTTCTCTCCATTTTTAATTCTCTGATGAAGGCTAAGACCTTTCCTTTGTCTGAAGCTTTTTTCATATTCTTTATATCTATAGGGTTTCACTATGAAATTAGATTTTTCATATTCTGTATGGAAGAATAATTTTGCACAACCAGTGTCATGTTTATTTTCTACAGAGCTTCTATTAAATAGGCTTACATTGTCCACCATATTATTTCCAAATGATTCAAATATATGGGATCTTTGCATTGGAACAACAAGGCTTGTGCTCAGGTGAAATGTGTTTCCAAATTCAGCATAGTTATGGACATTCTTAGTAATTACTTTGCCATCAGGGAATCCAACTTGCTTCAACAGATACTTTTCTTGGTTATCCTGCCAGACTTCTAGAAAAAAAGCACAATAAATCATGTGTATACTTGTCATTATGGGGACTAGACCTTTTTCCAGAAATGCCATGACCTCAACTGTTCCTGCCGTACTGATACTGACCACCTGAGATGCAGATCTAGCAGAACTTAGATTGGGCTTGGCTTATTCTAAGTGTACCTTGTAAGATCTTTTCTTGTGATTCAGATGAAACTATCACAACATTTTATCAGAGTGCCAAGGGAGAGAGAGGAATTTTTCATAAACTCTCATGTACAGCTTTTTTTTTATGAAAAACTTCCCATAACACTTAAGATTTTTATCTCTCCTGTTATTTCATCTCTCACCCTTAATTCGTAGTTATATGAACTTTTTTTTAGAGACAGGGTCTTCCTATGTAGACCTGGGTGGCCTGGAACTCATCTTGAACTCATAGATAGCCACCTGCCACAGCCTCCTAAATGCAAGTGTTAAAGGCATGTACCAACACACCTGGCATAGTTATATGAACTTCTGACTACACCTGACATATACTGCCTTCATCTAGAGAAAAATGTAGCATTGTACTTCCTAAATTCAATATTAATAATCCTATATCCATATGACATAAAATCTAGAATAGTGAACTCAACAAAACTAAAATTTTCTCAATTGGGGTTCATGAGTATATCTCCTTCAATGCATATAGTTTTTCAACACTACTGTCTGTGTTACTGTCAACTCTACTTCACTTAAAAAACTTTGCTTATTTTAACCTACAACTTGTGATGTTTAATTATCTATATTATCCTCCTGTTTTCTATATTTTGCTATATTCAGAATGTAGATAATTTTTAAGAGGCAGTTTTCTTATTTTACAAAAGCTTACTCTGACCTTTCTATATAATTTAAATTTTGATTAACACCTAATATAGTTAATAATCTGTACTACTCATTTAGACAGGTAAATTTCAAGTCTGTGCCTTTAATTTCATATTTTATCATCTATAAAATATTTCACATTTTAACATCTCTGAATTCACATGTACATTCAAATCAATGCTGTTCACATGCCATAACTAAGTGGTAATATTTCTTTCTTAGTAGCATGTCATGAAATCAATGGTATCCTGAATCTAACAAAATATAGCACACATTTTTACACACATATATGAATTATGTTTTATAGTTTACTTAATTTTTTAGAATTACTTATTTTATGTGTATAAGTGTTTTGCCTACATGTATTTGTACCAGGTGTGCCCTGGTGCTCACAGAGGTCAGAAGTAGTCAGATCTCTTGGAACTGGAATCAAGGATGGTTGTGAGCCACCATGTGAATGTCAGGAACTGAACCCAGATCCTGTGAAAGAATAACACAAATGCTCTTAAGTCCTGAGCTACATCTCCAGCCTCTGTAATTTCAAAGACTGTATATAAAAATATTCAAGCATGGAGAAAAGTTGAAACAAGTAGAGAACAACTACTACTCAAGTTTCTGCTTAGATTCTGTAATACAGTAGCAATGGAAAAATTTTTAAATGTCACATGGCTGTGGTTTCCATTTCTGTGACTTCCTTTCTTTAGATAGAAAAGTATAAGTTCATAGCAAGTGATAGACCCTAAATTACAGAAAGGCGTGTTATGAGTTTCATTTAGAAGGAGTCATACCCCACCTAGTATCTGTTAAATCAGAACCTCCTTAGGTGGTCATAAGTATGGCCCCTGAGGTTTAGGTCATATGGAATATCTAGATCAGGAATAAATCCTGACTCAGGTTTTCACCTGATATATTCTATTTGTATAATTTTCCCACCTAAAAACAGTGCTCACCAAAATGGATATTCAGGGGAATTCAAATACTTACCATACAGCTTATATGGCACAAATGAAATACTAAAAATGTTTACTAAACCAAACCTTTACTATTATTATGAGTTATGCAGAGCCATACTATATTACTATAAAAGAAATAATGTGTTTATATACATATATAAATACATATTTAATGTATTCTCAAGTACTAAGTAAAACGGGGCAAAATAAACTGTGCATAGGGGCAAAGTGTGATGATGCACATCTTTAATCGCAGCACTTGGGAGGCATATGCAGGAGATTTCTGTGAGTTCAAAGCTGGCCTGGTCTACATAATGAATACCAGGTCAGCCAGGGTTAAACAATGGGACCCTGTCTCAAAAACTACACCAAATGAAACAAACAAACAAATAAGAAACAAAAATCTGTATACAACAGAGTATAATTTTAGGGAAATAGGTCAATGTTTAGGTATACTCATACAGGGTCATTGTTGTATGGGGGAAGATAAACTAAATTCCATGAGTAGGGTAAAGAGGGAAAGAAGCTGGACTGCTCCTTTTTACATTTTACATTTATTTATTCATATATTTATTTATTTTGTATGTTTTGGGGCATACATGCCCCAACACATATGTGGTGGTCCAAGGAGAACTGGAAGAAGTCAGTTATTGCCCTCTACCCTGTGAGTTTTGGGAATTGAATTGAGGACATCAGACTTGTCACCAAATATTTTACCCACTGAATAATTTTCCCAGCCCCAAGCTGCTCGTAATAACCTTGTTTTCTAGATTTCACTTCAGAACCATGTAAATAGTTTTGTAACACTATATAACCATCAGCAAAACTGAATAATGGTAGATACCTTGTCATTTCTCTTTCCTAGTGAGAAGTTTCAGTTCTCAGAGGCACCAACAACATTACCTCAATCAGCTCAATGTACTGTACATGTATAACAGATGAAGAATTAATCAACAATAATTTGGGCTAGTGAGATGATTCAGCAAAGATATTTGTGACCTTAGTTTAATTCTGGGGACCCGTATAATGTATCAAGGGAACCCACTCTAGAAAATTTCTTCTGACCTTCACACAAATGCTATGACATGCATGTGTGTTTAAGAATTCATGTGTGCACATAAAATACACACACACACACACGTAATAAAAATTTAAAAACCTAGAATTTGATTTGGAAGTATCAATTTTAAGACATGATGATTTTTTTCTTAAAATACTTTTATACACAGTCGCTAACCCTTATGTATGAAAAAGTCTAAAAGAGATTTCATTAAGATTCAAGTTGTGGCATCTTTTGCAATAGCCTCAAGTAATATAAAACATTGTGTGGGTAACTCTAACCAAGCAAGTGAAAGACAAGTATGATTAAAAAAAAAAAAAACTTTAAGAAATTGAAGATAGCAGGGTGGTGGTGGTGTACACCTTTAATCCTAGCACTTAGGAGGCTTATGCATGAGTTCCAGGCCAGTCTGGTCTACAAAGCTGCACAGAGAAACCCTGTCTCAAAAAACAAAAACAAACAAACAAACAAACAACAACAACAAAAGGAATGGAAGATATCAGAAGTTGGAAAGCTCTCCAATGATCATGTACTATTAGAATTAGTATAGTAAGATGGCCATTCTACCAAAAATCAATCTACATTTTCAACGCAATCCCCACCAGAATTTCAACACAACTCTTCTCAGATCTTGAAAGCATAATCTTCAGCTTCATACAGAAACACACACCCAGGAAGGGCCTGGCAGTGATTGTGCACACCTTTACAGGCAATCTCTATGAGTCTGAGGCCGGATTGGTCTACAAAGAGAGTTCCAGGATAACCAGGGCTATTACACAGAGAACTGCCTGCCTCTACAGTGAATGTCCATGCTTGGAAAAGGAAGTAGTACACATTTTTATGGAGGCCACAGGAGCTCTTTTTTTCACTGTGACACTTCTCTGTCTGGTTTCTGGATTCTGGTTTGGGGGTCTGACAAGACTGACAAAATCCTCTGTTCAGGGCAGAGAGAGATGCCCATAGTCCTCTGGTTATTTCTGGTTAGTTAGGCTAGAACCACCAGTTGTTTTCTGACCTGCCTTGGATCTCTGATTTCATGTCCCAATGATACTGGGGACCAAGTCAAACTCAGGGTGGTCCAGCACCTTGGTGTTGTCAGCAGGGTTCCAAAGCCTAGGCTGCAGAACAAAGTCTTACAGGACATTGGGAACTAAAATTAAGAGTTTTGAAAGGCCCAATGTGGGAACATCGGGCAGTCCAGAGGTTGTGCAAGGAGGCAACTACAACAGCCTCTTACTTCTTAAATTCTCTTGGTCAGACTTTTGTACAACACCAATTATTATTGTCTTTGTTGCTTATGTCTTATCAGTTTGGTCTGTCTCTGTGTATTATGACTTGGGATGTAGAGCTCAGTGGCCACCTCAAAAGGTTTCCAATAACCAAAGATGGGATAGTTTGACTCATAAGAATACCAAGGCAACTCCTTATGACAAAAATGTTTGTCCTGTCCCAGTGAGTCATAACTATAATCGCAGTACTGTTGAGGCTGAGGCAGGAGATTATAAATTTGAAGTTAGCTGGGTAAAACATTGAGAACCTGCCACAAAAAAGGACTTAAGAATGCTTACATCTGAGAAGCTATACATGATACACAGAAAGGGGTGTAATTTAACACAGCTACACAATTCTTGGGTATTTATTTACCCAAAGAACTTCAAATCATCATAACACACATATCACTGACATCTGTGGAATATTCCTTTACACTGTGTGAGTATATGTCACTGTGTTTGGTTTAATAAAGAAGCTGACTAGCCTATAGCTAGGCAGGATAAAGTTAGGTGGGAGCACCAGACTAAGAGAATGCTGGGAAGAAGTAGAGAAAGGGAGGAGTCTTGGGAATCATGAGGAGATAAAGAGGAAGCAGGAGATGAATTTGCCATACTGAGAGGAGGTACTGAGCCATGTGGAGAAAATACATAAGAAATATGGGTTAATTTAAGGTATAAGAGCTAGTTAGTGAAAACTGAACTATCAGCTGAGCATTTATAATTAATAAGTCTCTGTATGGTTTTTCGGGAACTGATTGGTGGGACAGAAACATTCCACATACAGAGATCCTTGTACATCAAAGTCAACTGTAACACTACCTGGAGGAGCACAGATCATGTCCCGCCAGCAGGGGACGAGGTCCAAGCTGAAGACCAGCACCATTACAAGATGGTGCTGGGAGGAAGCTACAGAGGTGTGGCTTCATTGTTTACTAAGAAAAACAATTGGCTGCCCAAACTCACACACAAGCAGACCATGCCCAAGAGGTGATTGGACACTAGATACATAATAGGAATATCTTTAACATTACTGGGTAATACTTTTCCTGCCATGCAAATTTTTACTTTAAGAAGGCTTTACTGTTAAATAAATGAGATCCGGCTTGACTTGACTCCCTGTTGCATCTGATTATCTCTGAGTTCCAGGGAGGCTGCAGGGACAGCGAATAATATACCCTCCCCTCCCCGACATTGACCCTAGGGACCCCAACAGAAATACTCACAAGTTAAATTAAATTTTAATTTAAATAAATAGTTAAATTATGGAAAACCTACCTTGTCCAAGAGAGAAATAAGTAATGAAAATAAGAGTATATGAGCACAATAGATTTTTTTTTCAGTTAGAAATAATAGAATCATGTCATTTGCAGGAAAATGGATGTAACTAGAAATTATCATAATAAGTAAATTAAGCCAGTCTGCAAAATGCAAGCATCTTCTCTCATTTGTGGTTTCTAGATTTTTATGTATATACATAAATACATACATACACACACACACACACACACACACACACACACACACACACACACACACAATATGAAAGTAAATGCAAAACCATCTAGGGGAACAAGGAGACTGGAGGTGAAAGGGTCAGAAAAGGGAGAGTGGAGAAGTTTGCAGGTGTGCTGGCTAATTTTATGTCAACTTGACACAAGCTATAGTCATTTGAGAAATGAGAACCTTGAGAACATGGCCCCTTTAGAACAGGCTGCAGGCAAACCCGGTCTGTTGTGGTGGTGCTATCTCTGGGCAGGTGATCCTGGGTTATGTAAGAAATCAGGCTGAGCAAGCCATGGGGAGTGAGTCAGTATACAGCACCCCACTAAAGCTCATGCTTCAGTTCTTGCCTCTAGGTTCCTGCCCTATTTGAGTTCATGACCTGACTTCCTCTAGTGATGAACAGTGATGTGTATGTATAAGCCAAATAAACTTTTTATCCCCAGTTTGCTTTTTGTCATGGAGTTTCATCATAACAATAGTAACTCTAGGTCAGAAGGGAAAAATGCTTAACATACAACATATGCTTGTATGGGAATTTTAATTAAAAAGATATAACTCATTAGTCACTTTCAGAAGTTGCTAAAAATCATTTTAAAAATTATTGCTATTTTTTGCCAGGTGGTAGTGGTGGTGCATGCTTTTAATTCCAGCACTCGGGTGCCAGAGGCAGGCAAATATCTGAGTTCAAGGCCAGCCTTGTCTACAGAGAGAGTTTCAGAATAGCTAGGGTTCACAGAGAAATATTATTGTTTTAAAATTTTATTTATTTTTATGTTTGTGTGTCCATGTATGGTTATGTGCACATGACTGTGAGTGACCACAGAAGCAAAAAGAAGATTTTGGATCTCCTGGAGCTGAGTTATAGGTGTTGGTGAATTTACTGACATGTGCTAAGAACCAAACTCAAGTCCACTGGAAGAGTAACAAGTGGTGTTAACTGCTAAGCCATCTCTCCAGGCCCACAAAAATTATTTTGGATACTGATAAGAAAAACCTCAATCACTTTTCCTCTCTTTTCTGTTGAATATGTAGCAACCAAATAATAATTGAGAGACAATTTCTCCATCTTTTTGAGATAATATCTCCTTATGTAAACTAGGCTGGCACTGTCTGTGTCTCCTGAGTGCTGAAATTAAAGGCATGTGTCACCATGCCAGACCTTGACAATTTGTCTTCATAGAAGTTTTAAGCTAAATAATAAATGAATTAGAGAATTAAAATCTTGTCATTGGAGTCCTTCCAATGGCCATATCCTCAAAGAGTGACTCTTCCTCTTCTAGTCAATAGTTCATTGGTAAGGGGTAAATGTGGTGATCATCTACCCTCTATTTATGCTGAAATTAGGGTTGGCTTGATCTTATGCAGGTACCTACAACTGTTTAGAGTTTCTCTACATCCACGGACATATGGACAGCAGTAACTGGACATATCTGTATGAAAAAAGACATAAAGTTGGGAGGAAGATCTGTTGATGGGTCTATGGGAAGAATGGGAGTTGGGAAATGGTGGGGTAAGTGTAATCATATTTCATTGTATGAATGTATGAAATTCTCAAGAATAAACAAATGAAAAATTCAGCATTTTCAGCTATTACTGAATTAACTGGCCTAATCAGCAATTATCAGTAACTAATAGCATAAAACAGATACAACTGTGCATGACAAACCTCCTGATGGAAATACTTAGGAAGGAAAAAGAGAAGAAAGCCAGGCCTGAATCTGATCTAGCTTACAAGAAAAACAGGATAGAGTGCTGCACTAAGATACTACCTGGAAAGTTCCAAACCGAAATTTCCCCATCTGGCTCTGGTTCTTCTACCTCCAGCTTGATAATGAGATCTGGTTTAGTAAACTGTTGTTCTAAGGATGATAAATGATAGATCCCTCCTTGGTCTTCAGAGCCTGAAACAGAAGAATTTGCATTTTGTGGCCAGCACAAGGGACCTATCACTTGATACGAAAAATTTAACCAATATTTTGCATTTCCTTTAAGAAAATTATGAAGTAAAGCAAGCAAAGGACCCCCCCACACACACACTGAATATAATAACCTTCAAAAATTACTTGAGGATGTCATCTTACCCACAGAGACAAGGTTGCTGTAGGTCTCAAGCATCACATCTCTGTACAGGGTCCTCTGTGGAGGGTTCAGGTATTGCCACTCCTCCTGGGTGAAATCCACAGCTACATCCTCAAATGTTACTAGTTCCTATAACAGGAAGTTTCTTTTATTCTATAATGCTGGCCACTGAGTGATGACAATATGAGGAAAATTCTAATTGAGCTCCCAGTTCATCAAGATGTCTTCTTCATAAAACACTAATAGTCTACTTTGAAGGAGAATCACAAATCATGAGAGGAAACGATTGCTTACATGGTAAAATATTTAAAATGGTGTTATATTATCATAATGATAGGTATCTAGGAGAATAACAGAATCCAAGTGTGTACAGGGGCTAGAAAGATGGATTGCTCAATGGTTAAGAGTGCTTGCTGTTCTTCCAGAAGTCCTAAGTTTGCTTCTAAGCACACACATTGAGCATCTCACAACAGCCTGTGCCATCTTGTGGCATCCCTGGGTACCTGAACATACATGGCACACACAGACATGCTCATAAATTAAAAATAACAATTTTCAAAAAATAAATTAAATATGTATAGACACCTGACTTATGACAAAAGTTGGTGCAGTAAAGAAGAAGGAGCTCTTCGATAAACACAAGTGTACTGTTGGATACATATGTGGGAAAAACCTCCTTTGCCTTAAACTACAGGGATACCCAAGTATAAGCTGAGAAGTAGCAATAAGATATCTATAAAATGCCTGGAGGGCTTCCCAGTTTCATTAACATTAATCTGTCCATCTGTAACCACCCCATCTCCAACCAGCTTTCTATGTTGACCAAAAATCAGAGTACCCTGTTTGCTCTGCAATCTAGCTAGTCAAAAGTTCTTCCCTGCAGGACTGAATCCAAGCTGAGGCCCTCAAAATTACCAGACATTGAAAAAAATATGGTTAGATTATTGCCCCAAACTCTGGAAGAATTTTACTTCAAATTCCTTAAGCCCACATATCAACCCTGTACAATGACCTACTCAATGTAGACATACCCATTGGTTATCCTTTTATCTCAGTACCCATTGTGAGGAGTTTACTTAGTAAATTCTTGGGGGAGATGACCTGCTTATCCTCTTTAGTGTTCTGATTGGCCTTATCTCTAAATACAATGGGGAACTTCCTTGTGGGAATACCCTTGCCCAATTTTAGCTGGGTTTCAGCAAGACAAAATAATAATACAGGGAATTTTTTAAAAATCAAATTTTGCCAGAGGCCAAATTGTAAGACATGAAATACACTCTACATAAAGAAAAAGATGGACAAGTGTTATAAGATTTAAGTATAATAGTGAAAAGGCAAGCCATATTCAGGTAAGTGAACATTTAAGCTACTCTGCGACATTACTATGTGTCTACCAGAAAGGTTATAATTATGCCAACCAAATACCATAGTATATGTGTACTGGTTAGGTTTCACCAACTAGACACAAACTAGAGTTACCTAGAGAGAGGAATCTCAATTGAGTATTTACCTCCATTAGATTTGGCTTACAGGCACATATGTTGTGCATTTTCTTAATTGCTAATTGATAGGGGATGGTCCAGCCCACTGTGACAGCAACATTGTTAGGCAGGTAGTCCTAAGTGTATGAGAAAAGTAGCCAAGCAAGGCAGAAAGAGCAAGCCCATAAGGAGCATTCTTCCACAGTCTCTGCTTCAGTTCCTCCTCCTAGTTTCATGAAAATTATTCCAACAAGTGATTCTAAAAATACCCCTCACTGACCTAAATGTAGTATTTAAACCCAATCCCAGATGGTCAGGCCAAACATACATACAAGCAACACTAAATAGACTCAGCAGGCTGCATTTTAAAATTTATATGTGTAGTATCACTACATATTATAAATAAAATAAACAATACTAATTAAAGAATAAAAGGCCATGAATTTGAGAGTGAGTGAGGGGTTGTAGGGAGGATAGGAAGTAGGAATATGATGTCAATATAGTACATGAACTTCTAAAAGAAAAAAGAAATAATTAAAAAGAGACAGTTGAATAATGGTAGCACATACCTTTAATCCCAGCACTCGGGAGGCAGAGACAGGAGGTCTCTGGGAGTTCGAGGCCAGCCTGGTCTATCTACAAAGTGAGTTCCAGGACAGCCAGGGCTGTTATCCAGAGAAACCCTGTCTTGAAAAACCAACCAACTAACCAACCAACCATCCAACCAACTAAAAAAACCAACCAACCAACCAACCATCCAAGGGCTGAAGCGTTAGTGCTGGTGGTGGCATGGACAAAGTCCTGGTTTCAATTCTCATCACTACATAAACCAGATATGCCTATAATCAACATTATCCTCAATGTCATTTAGAGTTTGAGGCTAGGCTGGTGCTGTGTGTGTGTTTGGGGGGGTCATGTGCACTTGTGCATGAATGTGCATGTGTATGCCTAAGAAAGCCAGAGAGAGACAGCAAGAGATTCTGACATCAAAATTCAAGCTTCAAAGCCAACATATATTAAACATAACAAAAAACATGTCTAGTGCTCAACTTCACAATGCACAGAACACATTTATGAATATCTATACAAGGAGAAAATGAAACATACTGAGGGACTACTTTTAATACAAATCAGATGATGCATACAAAATTGATTACTTAAGACCTATGCTACATTTTTAATAAGGCAAATTGATGGGAGATGTCATTCTGTAAATATGTTTCTCGTATTGGTTAATGAATAAAGCACTATTGGCCAATAGGAAAGCAAGATAGGCGGGACTAGGAGACAAGGAGGAGAGAGGAAGTAGTAGGGAGGAGTTTCAAGATGTAGGACCAACAGGGTAGTATGCTGGGCTCTCTCTCAGGTAAGATAAGACCACGTGGAAATTTAGATTAATAGAAATGGGTTAATATTTAAGACAGAGCTAGCCAATAAGTGCTAGTAACAGGCTAACAGCATTTTATCTAATACAGCATCTCTCTGTGTTATTTGGGGCTGGTACAGCTCTGGCACAGGCAGGTGGGAAAAACTGCTCGTAATAGCAAATTTTATAACCTTGGATATGATTTTTTCTTAATGTCATAGACCAGTGACATAAATGAGCCATACATTGAGTGACAAATCAGTAAGTTCTATTGCTATAGAAATATTACTTTGATAAACATATTGTAAAATTAAAGATGGTAATAATATATTTTCTACTTGAAATTAAATCAAACTTCTATTAACTCCTCTGGGAAAGGGAAATATGAACCAAAATTTCTAAAAAGATAAGAAAAGCTCCTTATAAACTCCATGAGAAACAGAAAGCAGTGAATAAAAGGAAACTCAAAGCTTTACATGCCAAATGAAGAAGAATAAAAACAGAAACATTTTCCAATTAACAAAATTTAGGAGGGCCACATGAAAGCAAGCAAAAATCAGACTTATATGCCATCAAAATAACCAATATGCTAGTAAAAATTAAAATTTTTGAAAAACCAAAAAAATTAAAAATCTTACCTCTTTAAAAGAACATCAAAATATAGATAAACCACTAGCTGTCCTAATTAGAAAAATGTATAAATATATACTATAAATATGAGACATGATAATGAACAAATTAACAACATTAAAAAAATCTTGTCACATATTTTGTTGTGTATCAATTTGAGAATCTAGATAAATAGATATTTGAAAAAGTACAAATGAACAAAATTCATCCTGGCAAAGAAAGTCAGAGTAAGTGGATTAGACTTCCTTATATAGTTATCAAGGAAAAAACCTGCAAAGGTCTCACATAGGAATCTTACCCAACCTTCAAGGATAATCCCAACACTACCAGAAATTTTTCCTGAGGACAATGAAAAGCTTCCATACTGTTTACATGAATCAAATTGGTATGTAAATTGATAGAAGATTGTACTAAATAGGAAAATAGTAGATCAATTTCACTTAGGAATTTCATGTGTGAAACTTCTAACACAATAATGCAACACAACCAAATGAAATTTATTCTAGGAATACCATGATGGCCCAATAAAAGAATAAATTCATTAGTATAAGGCACCATTTAAACAGAGAAGTGTCTTGAATACAGCTCAATGGTAGAAGCATTTGCTTGATAGCAAGAGCCTTTACCCACTGAGCTATCTTTTAATTTTTTTATTTCTTAAAAAAGAATGACTATTTGTTGGAAAAGGCATATGCCATAGCACACATGTAAAGGTAAGAGGCCAATCTTTGTAGTCAGCTGCCTCCTTCTACCTTTACATTAGTTCCAGGTTTCTGTGGCAATCATGTTACTTTCTAATCCCCATATCAGCATTTTTGTACTAACACTTTAAAATTATTCTCACAGATTTTCTCTTATCTATTTATGATGGTGAGACTCAAACCCAGTGCCTTGCACATGTAGCCTTAGTCAGTTTTCTGCTGTTAAGAACATAGCCATGGAAACTCTTACAAAGGAAAGTCTTTAATAAGTTTCAGCAATTCAGCCCATTATGATGGTCGGAAGCATGGCTACATGAAGGCAGACATGGTTCTGGAGAAGTACCAGGGAGTTCTACATCTCAATGCACAGGCAACAGGAAAAAAAGAGACACTGGGCCTTGCTTGGGCTTTTGAAACCTTAAAACACATCTCCAGTGATACACTTCTATCAAAAAGGTCATGCTTACTCTAACAAGGTCACACTTCTAATCCTTCTCAAGTAGTGCCACTCCCTGATGACCACTCCCTGATTCAAATATATGTGCCTGTGAATGTCATTCTTATTTAAACTACCACACACATGGGCTGGTGGTCCTGGGTTCTATAAGAAAGCAGGTTTAGCAAGCCATGAGGAACAAACCAGTAAACAGAACTCCTCTAAGGCCTCTGCTACAGTTCTTGCCTCCAGGTTCCTGCCTTGAATTTCTGCCCTAACTTCCCTTTGATGATAGAGTGATGTGGAAGTATAAGATGAAATAAATGTTTTCTTCCCTAAGTTCCTTTTTGTTATGGCATTTTATCACAGCAATATAAGTTCTCTAACCCTTTCAAGGAAGGTTAGAACCTAAAGATATAAGTCAATCCTGAAGTCAACATTATACTTAATGGGAAAATTCTGAAGTTATCTCCACTGACATCAGGAGAAAGCAAAATACACAGTCACCAATACTATGAAATATGGTATTGTAGAGTTTAGCTAATGCAATTAGGTATGAGAAAACAAAAAAAAGAGTAGAACTAAAAATAATTAAAACCCTACTATCAAACAGTATGAGATTATCTGAAAAATGAAGTATCAATAGTAATACTAAACAATTATTTGAAGAATTTAGAAAAACACCATGTAAGTATAATGAATAATTTTCATACATGCAAACAAATGCTAGTTAAAATATAGTAAC